TTTCCCACCACCCAGGGACAGGAAGCCACGGCCGGAACTTGATCCCTTGGGAGCCTCATGCTCTGTGCTGAGAAATGGCAACGGTTCTCCAAGGCTAGTGAGTCTCAGTACTTTGAACAGCGGCTGGGTTGTCTCAGGAGCCAGGTGGCCTTCGTCTTTTCTGGATCAGGCCAGCACAGTGTGTGACCCTCCCCCATAGCAAGATGGGGCACTCTGAGAAGGCTTGGGCCCCCCTGGGGAGACATTCATCTTTCCAACCTTCATCATTTTTTTTCATAATGGTATTCTCCCTTTAAGGTGCAACAGCCCAGCTGGCTGCTGCTTTCGATGTGCTTTTGTTTCCTGCCCTGCCCCCAGTCCAGTCAGCAGGGTGCAGGGCAAAGCCTCCTCTCCTTCCATGCCAGTCTGCTCTGGGCTTACAGTGCCAACAAATAGTGCAATGTAGGTGAGCCCCAATCACTGGGGGACTAGACTGCCCTAGTTTGGATTCTGGTTGTTTGCTAACTGCACAAACTTGGCTGGGTACAGGATTATCAGTGTCACAATTTTTCCACCTTAAAACTGGCATGGAGGGGCTGGAGAGATGGCTCTTGAAGAGGACCCAGGTTCGGCTCCCAGCACCCACATGGCAGCAAAGAAACATCAGTAATTCCTGTTCCAGGGGATCTGACACTCTCCTCTGGCCTCCGTGGGCATTGCACACATGGGTGCACTTACATACATGCAGGCAAAACACACACACACATTAAAAAAAAAAAAAACACAAAAAACAACTGAGCTAGATATGGTGGTACATGCCTTTAGTCCCGGCACTTGGGAGGCAGAGGCAGGTGAATCTCTGTGAGATCGAGGCTAGCCTGGTCTATATAATGAGTGCCAGGCCACAGGAGACCCTGTCTTGAAAAGACAAAAAAAGAAAAAACAAACAAAAACAAAAAGCAAAAACAAAAACCCAGTAACTGGCTCATAGTAAAAGTGAAGTGTTTGCTGTTATTATTACATAATCTTGGACATGCACATTTTGTCTCCTCTGGTCTTCAGTTTCTTCAACCACATAATTAAAGCAGCAGTTCTCCTAGTCTCAATGTGCTCATCACCTATTAATGATGGGGTTTGGGTAGTAATGGAATGAGAAAACAGGTACCAAGGCAGAGGGCTTGACCCTAGCACATAGAAAAAGTTCAAACAGAGTTAGCTGCTTTGTTTGTGTTGGTGAGGAAGAACTAAAGTCAGAATAGCTTGTACACCTCGAGCTTCTCATATGACCTTACTCACTGACACCTAGAACACGGGAGGTCGGGACTGGAAGGGCATTTTACAGGTTAGTGACCCAATCCATCCAACATTCACCAACTGCCTGAAGGAGCCAATCACTGTTATAGGTGCTGGGGACAGAACAGAACAGCACGTTACCCTTGTGAGCTTTAATTTCTTGGGGTTTGGGGGGAAGTCAATAAATATGAGGGTACAAAAAACATAGGATACATGTTCAGGTTCAACCTCTTTGTTTTGTAGATGGGGAAACTGAAGCCCAAGAAAAAAATAATTTTCCTAAAGTCTTCCAATATTATAGCTAGGCAGAGACTTCCAGGGAGTCTTTACAGTTTAGGCTATCTAAACCTCAACACATCTGGCTGCTCCAGGGTCTTAAGATGCCACAGCAATGGGGCTAGAGATGGCTCAGTGGTTAAGAGCACTTCCTGCTCTTCCAGAGAACTGGGGTTCAGTTCCCAGCACCCACATGGAGATGTAAAACTCGAACTCCAGTTCCAGGAGATCAGACACCCTCTCCTGGCCTCCTCAGGTACTGCATGCACGCAGTGTACATACATACATACATACATGCAGGTAAAACACTCATGCATAAAATAGATCTTTTTAAGAAAAGATGCCGAGAGGTGTGGTTGGCACATGCCTTTAATACCAGCCCTTGGGAGGCAGAGGTAGGCAAATCTCTGTGAGACTGAGGCCAGCCTGGTCCACAGGCCAGCTGGGAGACCCTGTTTAAAAAAAAAAAGTCATAGCCAGAGCCAACATTTATTACATTTTCCTAGGTATAGAGACTATTTGGAGCATTTCGTACTTCTGTGTGTGTGTGTGTGTGTGTGTGTGTGTGTGTGTGTGTGTGTGTGTGTGTGTGTGGACATGCAGAGGCCAGAAGTCAACCTTGGGTGGTGTTCCTCAGGATTCTTCTACCTTAAAAAAAAATATGTGTGTGTGTGTGTGTGTGTGTGTGTGTGTGTGGTCTGTATGTCTACCTTGTTTTTTGAGACATCTCACGGAATAAGCTAGGCTGACTGCCCAGTGAGCCCCAGGGATGTGACTGTCTTGGCCCTTGGCCTCCCTAGTGTTGGGATTACAAGTCTATGCCCCCACACCTGGCCTTTACATGGGTTCTGGGGATGGAACATGGATCCTAATACCTGTGCAGCAAGCGCTTTATTCACTAAGTTATCTACCCTGCCTCACTTTATACATTTTAAAACATTTAATCCTCACATCAAATCTGAGGCAGGGAATTGACATTCGTTTTATTTTATAGCTGTGGAAACTGAGGCACAGAGAGAGAGTAGGGAGCAGAGTCTGAATGCAGACCTCTGGCCAAGGGCCCATGCCCTCGACCACACTGAAGGCTCCCCAGCTGGCTGCTCTTTCTCCACCCTGGTCTCAGTGATTCCCTAGCAGCCTTCTGAGAGGCCTGGTGGAAGGCCTCTCCCTCTCTGGCCTCAGTTTCCTCATCTGTGGATTGAGGGGCCTTCCTGGACGGCCCCTCATGAATGTAATTATTGTAGTCACTTGGTTGTTTTCTGATGTGCTTCTCCAGCAGGCTGGGGCAGCCAGCAGCATCTCCCCAGGGCCTGGCTCTCTGCCTTGGCACGTAGTAGACCCTCAATAAATACCGGTGGAGGAAGAAAGGAGGGAAGGACAGTTCTTGTCCTCACTACAGACCTGTTCCGGACGCTGGCCGGCCCTCTGGGTTCTCAGCCCAACCCGGCAGCCGACCTCCCCTCCTCCCGCCCTCGCACCTCCTGGGGCTGACTCGAGCCCTCCATCCGGCCTGCATTTTTCCGGGTTTGATATAATTTTTTCCACTCTCCCGGCACAGCCGGCGATCTCTGCCAACTTTCCACAGCTACAGCCCTCCTTCTCAACCGCAGGCCGGAGACAACTTGGGGTGGGGAGACCCTTCGCCGCTTCCCTTCCGGGCGGGGCTGGGGATGGGTGTCCTGCAGCCTTAGCCTTTTTTTCTGCACCGCGCCCGCTGGACTGGAGCACCGGTGACCCACGTGTCTGGCCTAGGCGTCTGGGAGGGCAGTTGGTTAGGGGCAGGGGTGTCAGGCATCAGAGACAGATGGTCCAAACAGTATGTATTTTGTTCTCAAAGTAGTAGCAATCCCTCCTTCCCTCCTCCCCCATCCCCCCCCCCGAGCTGGAAACTCCTGACCTGACCCCTGCAGCCACCGGGGTCCCCATCCAGGCGGGAAGTCTCACTACCTCCTTCTATCCTCACAGCCAAGGGAGGCTGGGGAAGGAGGCTAGGCCCTGGGGCCTGCAGCTCCCCGGCTGGGTGACCCTGGGTGCGCTCTTCAGCTCTGGGCTTCACCTTCCACATCTGGAAAATGAGTGCACTGGACTAAATTGGGGTCTATCCTGGGGGTTAATGGACCAAGTTCCATGGAATTTGTGCCCTGTTCCTTAAATTATATGTGAAGTTGTTTGAAACTTCGAAGCTAGAGTCTGGCTATGCAAAGCAGACCTGGCTGGCCTGGAACTTGCTATATAGACCAGACAAGCTTTTAAATTTCAGGGGATCCTCCTGCCTCTGCCTCCCCTGAGTGCCAGGATTATAGGTGTTGCCCAGCTTTTATTTATTTTTATTATATATGTATATATATTTAAATATTTTATTTTTATTTTATGTGTATGCGTGTATTGCCTGCATGTAGGTAAAGGCACCCGTGCTGTGCAATACCCTCGGAGGATAGAAAAGGCTGTCGGATCCCCTGGAACTGGAGTTACAGACAGTTGTTAGCTGCCATATGGGTGCTGGGATTCAAACCCAGGTCCTCTGCAAGAACAGCCAGTGTTCTTAACTGCTGAGCCATCTCTCCAGCCCCTCTATATTTTAAATGCAGGCTGGTTGGCCCTGAACTTGCGATCCTCCTGGCTCAACCTCCTGAGTGCTAGGATTATAAGTGTGTTCCACTTGTTCTATAGAGTTTTAACACTTCTCTATTTTGCAGTGTTGGGCTCAAACACAGGGCCTCATACATGCTAGGAAGCTCTACCACTGAGTTACACCCCCAGCCTGTCACTTTATTTTGGCATTTGTGTATGTGTGCACATGTGTGCATATATGTGTGGAGGCTGGAGGTCACCTTTCCACCTTGTTTTCAGAGACAGGTCCTCACTGGCCTAGTGCTCACCAAAGTAAGCTGGCTGGCTAGTGAGCTTCAGAGATCTGCTGGTCTCCACTTCCCCAGTGTTGGGATTACAAATTTGTGCCACCACAGTGACTTTTTACATTTCTGGGGGTGAAACTCAAGTACTCAGCACTAAGCTGTTCCATCCCCCGCCCCATACACAGCTGTGGCCAGGTGGGCTAGTAGGACCTAGGACCTCTGAGTCCTCACTTAGAGAGGTTATATGATTCCTTCTCTGAGCTCCTTCCCCCTTGTCAGTCAAAGGAGGTGCAGATAGCACATGCGCTTGGGATTGGCTGGGGTGTAACTCAGTGGTAGCGCTTCCTAGCACGTGAGGGGCTCCGGATTTGATCCCAGCTGCACTAGAGTGACAGTTTGGCATCATCAGCTTCCACAAACACCAGCTATTACAGTGCCAGGATGAGCACTGAGATGCCCTCTAGATAAGAGTTCTGTGGTTCTATAACCTAAAAAATGAGTTAAAGAGAAATTAGCAGGTCACTCAGAACTGTGGTGTCTCTCAAAGGTCGGGGGTAGGAACTAAGCCCAGCAGTTGGGAGAAAGGTCTGAGGGGTATTGAGTCCACTGACTTTATTGATAGGTCAAGACATCTAGGCCAGTAGGCCAAATCAGTCTACAGTCAGGGTAGTTGGGGGAGGAGAAGCTTAGAGAGAGGTCTAGGCTTCAGACAAGATACCCTGGACTGGTTTACTCTGGGACATTCTGAGGGTTGGCCACAGTCCAGGGACAAGGAGGATTTTTACAAAAAGACACCCACCCTGTAAAAAACAAAAACAAAAACAAAAAACACCTACTTGTTCCCATATTGGGCCTATAGCCCCATAGTCTGTCCATCACTTCTCCAGAGATTAGGGGTTTTGGAAGCTCTGGCTGTGGGCGATGCTCTGGCCATCAGGGTAACAGGCAGCAAGGTCCATCCCGTGGACCTGAGGTGACCCCCCGCTGCTAACCCTCGTGGCACCCCAGCGTCCCATCATCCCCAGGAGGTGCTGGTCTCAGAGTACAGCCAGGTTGTGGCAGGACTTGGAGCGGGCCTTCAATGCCCGGCGACGGGCGCTGCGGGCCGTCAGGCGTGCCAGGAAGCGACGGGCGCGCTGGCCCAGGCTGGCCCGATGTCGCGGTGCAGGTGGCTCGGGGGTCGAGCTGTCTCGGCGGCGCAGGCGCAGTTGGCGAACCACGCCTTCGAAGAGCTCGGTCACATTGTGCTGCAGGGTTGCCGAAGTCTCGATGAACTTGCAGTCGAACACCACTGCGCAGGCGCGGCCCTCTGAGGGGGCGAGGCCAGGTGATCCGGGGAGGGGCCATAGCCAGGACCAGGAGATAAAGGTAAGAAGAGGTGTGTTCAGACTCTCAGAAGCAATTTCCGGTGTTACCTGCCTAGTGTGTCGCGAGGACTTGGGGCAAGTCATACTTGGTTTGAGATGTCAGCTCAGACTGATACTGACAGCAGACTGAGGCTGGGAATATTTGACCCTCTGAGTAGGGCCAATTTAAGATCTTTATGGGCCCCCAGTAGAAGCATGAAACATTAAAATATTCCTCATCTCAGTGTAAATATAATTTTGTTGTTGTTTTTGAGACAAGGGCTCTCTGTAGCTCCAGCTGGCCTGGAACTTCCTATGTAGAGCAGGCTGGCCTCCAACTCACTGAGATCCATTTGCCTCTGCCTCCGCCTACCTGAATACTGAGATAAAGTCGAGCCTCACCACACTCGGCTTGTAAATATAATTTATACATAACTTTTAGAAGTTTTTGTTTTGTGTTTTTTTGAGACAGGGTATCCCTTTAGCCCCAGCTGGCCTGGAACTTGCTATGTAGCCCAGGCTGGCCTCAATCTCACAGAGATCCACCTGCCTCTGCCTTTTAAGAGCTGATATTAAAGGCATGAGCCACCATGCCTGGCTAATTTTAGAAATTTGGTCTGCCAACACAATATTAAGTGTTTTAGACAATTAAGTCTTGTGGAATTTGAATTATAATTTTCTCACTTTATATTGGAGCCAATAATTTTTTTTCAGCCCTTGAAAGGTGGTGGGCATTGGGCCTTCCATATCTGATGGGCAGAGTCTCTGATTACCGGCTTGGGGAGCTACAAGGGAAATTTTAAGCAAAGGTGACAAGGTAAGCTGTGGTTCTGGAAATCTCTGGCAGTTGTCAAGAAGAACTGAGTGAATAGGGCTGGATAAGTATAGGGGCTGGCTGGGGACAAAATGGGGATGCCAGGACAGGGCAGAGGCTGTGGTTATGGAGCGAAGAGGAGTAGCCTGCATACTTGGGTACTGACTTGGAGGTGAGACAGGATAAGGGATGGTCCTGGCTTGGGGCAGGCCGGAAGCTAAAGGGTTGGTTGGGGGCGGGCATTTGGGGTTGGCTGGAGGAGGCATTCTCTGAGGAGGAGGAGCCGTAGGGCTGAGGAAGAGAGGAGGATAGGCCAGAGAACTCACCTTCCACCGAGACTTCGCGGCATCGGGCCAGGTCAGCTTTGTTGCCTACAAGGATGATGGGCACGTGGTCGGCCTGATGCGCACGCCTCAGTTGGATGCGGAGCTCGGAGGCGCTCTCGAAGCTGCGGCGATCTGCTATGGAGTATACGATGACGTAGGCACTGCCCGCCTGCAGGCACGGCTGCTGGCTCCAGCTTTCATCCTGCGGGGAGGGACCCCAGGCCCATCCTCAGAGGGCGCTTAAGCCCTGGCTGAGAAAGAGGCTGCGTTGGTCTAAAGGGTGGGATAGGTTGAGGTTATACTGTGGATAGTTTGGGGAGAGAAATTCTATCATAATGCCCCATGTCACCTTGGGAAAATCACTGAGCCTCTTTGAGCCTGTTTCTCTGCTTAAAAAATTGGATGGGCGTGGTGGCGTATGCCTTTAATCCCAGCACTTGATAGGCAGAGGTAGAGTTCCAGGACAGCTGGGGCTACAAGGAGACCCTGTCTCAAAAAGACAAAAAAAAAAAAAAAAAGTTGGATGGACACTAACTACTTACTTCCTTCACTCTGCCACTGACTACTTCCTGTTGGACCCTGGAGACAGAAATTGAGTTGAGACCCTTTCCTGATAAGGAAGGTCTGGCTTTTAAGTTCAACTTTTTGTTTTGTTTTGAGACAGTGTCTCCCTGTCTCAAGTGCCTCTTGGCCTGGCACTTGCATTGTAGACCAGGCTGGCCTCACTACCACCATCTCAGAGATCTGCCTGCCTCTGCTTCTGGGGAATGGTAGGATTAAAGGCATTTAGTACTATGCCCACCTTTTTAAAAAATAAATTTTATTACTTTTATTTTATGTGTATGAGTGTATTGCCTGCATGTATATGAGTGCTCCCGTGTCGTGCAATGCTGCAGAGGTCAGAAGAGGGCTTCGGATTCCCCTGGAACTGGAGTTAAGAATGGTTCGTAGCTACCATGTGGGTGCTGGGAATTGAACCCAGGTCCTCTGCAAGAGCAGTCAGTGCTGTTAACTGTTGAGCCATCTCTCCAGCTCTTTTTTTTTTTTTTTTTTTAAAAGACAAGGACTCACACTATGGCCCAGGCTGGCTTGGACTGCACTACATAGCCCATGGTGGTTTTGGTCTTAGAGCGGTCCTCCTGCCTCAGACTCTGGAGTGCTGGGATTATACTGTGCCCTACCAGGCCTGGCTGCCTTGTTCCCCTCTATCTGGTTCTAGGAGAGTTTTGCCTTGTGACATAGTTCTTGATGCCTTCTCCAATCCAGAATTTAAAGAAAAAAGGAAGAGAGGGCTGGCAAGAGGGCTCAGTGGCTCCACATGGCTACAGACCAGCACTGCTTGCCTCTCCTCCACTTCAGTGCAAGCCTGAGGACCAGAGTTTGATTCCTGGACCCCAGAACTGGAATGGGTCTTTGACAGGGCTGGCACTTGGAGAGAACACATTTAAATGTATCTAATAAGCTCTACTTCCTGTTCCCTGTGCTCCTGGCCCACATGTGGGCTGGGGGATGGAGAGGTACAGTGCATGGTGGTGAGGACCATCGGGAGAGGTTACTAAAGTGGTGGAGGAACCATGGGGTAGAGTTGGAGGTGTCAGGACAAAAAGCCTGGCAGAACATTGGGAGTGGTTCCCAGTGGACCAATGGGTAGGGTTTGAAAGGATGGGCAGGCCTAGCAGGAGAAAAGAGTCCAGAGAAGGAGAGGAGTTGGTGTTAAGGCCTAGGGTGGGAAAGCCTGATTGTGGTAGAATTGTCTGTAGGGGGAAGAAGCTAGAAAATATGAGGGTGCACACTCATTAGCTGTATTGGATGGAGTCAGACAGATGTGGATTCTCAGGGGCTAGGAGGGGATAGCTCACTGGGTAAAGTGCTCATTATGCAAACGTGAGAACCTGCATTTGATCTTCAGAACCCACTGGGGTGGGATGGGGGAAGCCAGGTGCACTGGTGTGTGCTCATAGTCCCAGTGCTAGGGAGGTAGAGACAGGCAGATCCCTAGCCAGTCACTCTAGCTAATTGGTAAGAAACCATGCCTCAAACAAAACAAAACAACAAAACAAAACACCCCACAAAAACCCACACATACAAAAAGAAAACAGACAAGCAAATAAACAATAAAATAAGGTGGATAGTTTCCGAGGAATGATGCCCAAGATGACCTCTGGCTTCCACATGCACATGTGTACTCATGTATACATACACGCACGCACGCACACACACACACAAGATGTGGGTTCTCAACCTTGATTAGGAACAGCTTCTTCCAGTTACAGAAGGGGGTGGTCTTGACCCTTCCTTTACCATGCAAATATTGATGGAGGATTTTCTACATATTAGGATCACAGGAACCAGTGAGTGCATGGATTGGTGGGTAAGAACCTATCCCAAGCACTGTGATTAATAGTTCAGATTTTAGATCCCTACTTTAGAGGTTCTCCTTCAGATGGCAGAGCGCTTCTTGCCCATGGATGAAAAGGGTGGTGCTTATTCAAACAAGGCTGCCATGTTGTACCCTCTTTGGGAACTCCCCCATAGTCACTAATCAGGGAAACTGGCTTTGTTTCCTCATTTTACTGGTAGGAAAACCAAAGATTAAAGAGCAGGAGAAAACCTTCTAACTACCAGCAAGTTGGGCATCAGATCCCCTGGAACTGGAGTTATGGACAGTTGTTAGCTGCCATGTGAGTGCTGGGATTCGAACCCAGGTCTTCTGCAAGAACAGTCAGTGTTCTTAACTGCTGAATCAGCCCCTATACCTGACTCTTTAAGAAAAAAAATAAATATATTTTAAACTGTGTGTGTGTGTGTGTGTGTGTGTGTGTGTGTACACCATGGTGCATCTGTGGTGGTCAGAGGACAGTTTTGAATAGTTAGCTCTCTCCTTCCACCGCGTGGCCCTTGAATCAAACTCTAGTCTTCCAGTTTGATAGCAGGCCCCTTTTTTTCAGCTGAGCCATCTCACCGGCTCTATGCCTGGCTTTTGGTCAGTCTTCTTAACTCACTGGCCTCTGCCCCATAGCATTATCTGTTGCAACCAGAAAGCAGAGCTTTCCTCAGCAGCCTGCGAGCTTCATGACACCAGTGACTTGTCTGCCTGATTCACCCATGTTTTCAGCATCGTGGTCCATGATAGATACCAACTGAGTATTTCTAAATGAATGAATGAATGAGTGAAGAATTGAAATGAGCTGAAGGTTGAAAAAGTGATGCCCCCAGGGCAGAAGGGGACATGGTCCCAGTGTGTAAGAGTATAGGCTGTGTCCTTTGTATATCTGGGTATGAGCCTGTTTGCTCTTTGAGACCTTCGGACACACTGACCTCTCTGAGCTTTAGTTTCTTCATTGGCAGAATGGGCAACAAAAGACTGACTATATAGTTTTTAAATGCATGTTGTAATGCATGTCCAATGCCACCTGCCATTATGAGGTCATTAGGCTCACTTGTACCTGGTTTCCTTTTCTGTTTGTTGAAAGGAATCAGCCAAGGTAGACATGGTAATGGTGATTTATGCCTGAAATCTCAACACTCTGGAGGCTGAGGCAGGGGAATCAAGAATTCGAGGCCAGGGCCCATGAGATGGCTCAGTGGGTAAAGGTGCCTGCTGCCAGGTCTGGCAACCTAAGTTTGATCCTGGAACCCACATAAAGGGAAGACTCATTTCCTGTAAGTTGATCTTTTTTTTTTTGGTTGGTTGTTTGTTTTTGGTCTTTTTGAGACAGGATCTCCCTGTAGTCGTCAGTAAGAATGAACCCAAAGAGCACTTTTTTCATGCTCCAAACTCAGCTCATCTCTGTAGAATTGCATAAGAATTAAAAAAAAAAATCAGTGCGCCAGGCATGGTGGTGCAAACCTTTAATCCCAGCACTCAGTAGGCAGAGGCAGGAGGATCTGTGTGAGTTCAAGGCCAGCCTGGTCTACGTAGTGAGTTCCAGGACAGCTGGGGCTACAGGGAGACCCTGTCTCAAAAAGACCAAAAAAAAAAAAAACCAGCTGATGATGGAGCTGGGGGTGTAACTTGCTCAGTGATAAGGCACATGGCAGAGCTGGCTCTAGGCCTTGGGTTTGATCACCAGTATCATAAATAGACATTAGAAAAAAATCAACTGATAAAGCAAGAATGAGATGAGAAACTGAAGAATCAGATGAGAAACTGATGTTCAGAGCAAGTCAATGAGTTGCATAAAGCTATACAACTAGTAAGAAAAAGAAAGGGGTATGTGTCACCCTTGGGCATTTTAGTACCAAATCCAGTGTTCTTTCAGCCTAATGTGGGAGGTAGCCATAAGGATGGGGGAGGCGTGCAGAGGAAGAAGTGCATTCTGGGATAGCTGCTGGGAGGTGGGAACTAGTGGAGTGAGAGGAGGGGTCAGGGCTGTGAAATTCTTCTGTCTTTGGAAAAGCTGTAGGTTTGGGGAGGGGGTGTTGAGGGTGGCCCTGCCTCAAGTCCTGTCCTGTATGCCCCAGGAGACAGGAGTCTGGTATTAGGCTCAGCATCCCTCTCTCTACAGTGTCATACCAGGTTCTCTGCCTCCCAGATGTCCATGACTACTAGCGTGGCATCCTCTCCATCCACCGTGAGTGTTCTTTCATACACATCTGTAGAGAAGGGGAGAGTTGCATCTCAGGGTGGGGCAGGCCAGCTGAGATGTGGCATTCCCTCCCTCTCCTCTCTTGTCAGTTACTCTTCCATGTTTCCTTGGAGAGGGTGTCCTGTCTTTCCTGGTGTTCAAAAGCCTTATGAGGTGTCTATGCTTCCCCGGCTGTGAGCATAGAACTTGGCACATGACTGGCAGGTGCCAAGGAAGCTTGGTTTGGTTGAGGGAATGAATGTGGGTTGATGGGGTTACAAACAGGACTCTTTCTCACCCTGGTGTGTTCTCTAGTTTAGTGTGCGCTTCAGGTCTTAGCTTCCCTGTCTGTAACACACAGGTGTGCCAATATGTGTCTTCCATATGCATAGCTCCTCACTCCCAGGAGGCTCAAGACTGAAGAAGGAGTCTGGCCAGATGGTCCCCATCTTCTCTGCTTTTAACTACTGAAAACACCCTGTGTCATCACAGCCAGCCCTGCAGGGACCTGTCTTCATGTCATCTTGTCCTGTCTCTGAATCCCATTGTCCTGGGGCCCATGGCCCTGAGGTACCGGACACTGTAAGCTCAGTGCATTTGAGGGGAGTAAAGCAACCCAGGGCCCAGAGCTGGAGGCCGAGGAGTCTCCATTTGGCAAAGATATTTTGCTGTAGGTCAAAGTAGCTATGGCTTGGCATCTATGGGCCTGGGAGGATTTGAGAGTCAGGAGGACTTGGGGTCAGGAGTTTCTGAGCTAAGTGGAACCATTTCTTAACACTTGTAGTTTCAGAATTTCCCGCCTCATGAGGTGGGGATAAATTATATACCTCTCATCCAATTTCCCTCCTGCACAGCTCTAGATGAGTATCATTCACTTGATAGTGGGTGTGAATGATTTTCCTTAGAGTTGAACAGTGCATGGCTTGTACAACTCTTCTCTGAATTCCTGTGCCCCTGGCCACAAGCTTTTCAGTCCTGTGGCTACATCCCATCCCATCCCACAGGGCTCCTACCTCCCAGCTGTTCTTGAAGGTCCCGCTCTTGCCTTCCTGCAAAGAGGCTGGCCAGGCTGGTCTTCCCTACACCCGGGTCTCCGAGCAGCACCACACGGTAAAGGGCCTCCCAAGAGCCTTCAGAGTCGCTGGATTCAGAGGACCAACCATCTTGGGCAGGGGAAGGTTTCCGAATGGGAGGGTTGAGGGATGCTGACTGACCTAGTGGGGGATGCTGGGATTGAGAGGTGGGTGCAGTACACAGGCGGCCAGGCTGCTGGCCCCGGGATGACAAGGGTAGTGGAGTGCTGGCTCTCCTGCGAAGAGGGGTCTTTGCTTCCTGCTGAGTGTTTAGTGTCATTCTCGGTGGGGAGGTCTGTCTTCTTACAGGCTTGCTAGCTGTTTGCTAACTCCTTCCTTCTCCCCAAACAAGGGGGCTGGGCAGTAAGCCAGTGGCTTAGGTCCCTTCTTCTCTGGGTCCTGATGAGCTGTGGAGATGATTTCCTCCAGGGGTCCCTCTTGAGGAAAATGGGAAGAGGAGCCTCAGCTCCTTGAGTTGGGGTTTGCTGGCTGGGTCCACCTAGAAGGGACGAGTGTGCCGGCTGTGAACACACATAGATGTGCACACCCAGAGGCCCAAGGTCTGAGAACGACCCTCCTCCTATGACACAGAGAGAGGGGTTGCGGCAAGTTGGGACGTCTATGGCCTCCACACCCTGCTTAACCTGACCCGTCCTCCCATTCAGAACGTCAGACTCTCCCTAGGGAAGGCATCGGCGTGCCCCATCCTCCCCTTCCCCACCGGTCTCTTTCACAAGTTCAGGATTGGGGGTTGCAGAGGAGGATTTGAGGCCTCTGGAAAGTATAGTCCCACTGCCTTATCCCTTGGGATCCGAGCTTGAAGAAGCAAGCCGAGGTGGGTTGGTGCCCCACAAAGGCGGGAGGGGTGGGGGAGGGTTCCTGGGATCTCTCTGGCTGAAACCCGAGTGCCCTGGTGCCATGGGTACGGCGTGCCCGGCCCGCCCCCTGCGTGAAAAATTCAGGAGCCGCTGGTGCCACGGCCTCCAGCTGTTGTTGGGAGGTGGGAGCCAGGAGGAGCCAAGTGACAGGTATGGTGAGGGGACAGGGTCCTGCAGGAGGACAGGGAGGGGAGCCCACCGGCCCAGGGAATGCAAGTGCCGTTCCAGGGTTGGAACTTTACCGGGTCGTGGTCCTGGATGTAAGTCCCAGGTCCTGGGGTGATGAGCTTCCCTAGTGTGAGGTTCTCCAACCCTCGGGGCCCCAGGTCTGCCGCCCTGCACCCCTTGGACGCAGGTTCGAGGCTCCCTGTACCCCTCTGCGCTGCAGGCAGACGCCGGCGAACTTGAGCAAGTTTACCTCTGCGAGCGGAGACTCCGGTCCTGCCGCCAAAGCCGCTGGGCGCTCCGGGCTGTCCCGCGGTCTCTGCACGCAGCCCAGGGCCGGTCCCGCCCCGCCGAGCGCCACCCCGCCCCGTGCGTCCCGCCCCGTCCGGGCGGCCCCGGGTCCCCGCCCTGCGGCCTGGCGGCTCGGACCGTTGCCTCCAGTCCGCCGCGTTGGGATGGAGAGAACCTGAGAGGCGAAGGAAAAGGACTTTGGGTTCCTGAATCTGGACGTCCCTCTGTGTCCGGCTCTGTTCCCTCTACCAACGGGGAGCGCCAACCTTAGCCCTCATAAAAGCCACTGGAGGTGTCTTAGCCAATTCTCAGAGTCCCAGGTCGCACCTTTCTGGGGAGGTGATTCCACAGGACTGAGCCCAAGTGATAATGATGCGGGTAGCTCACGGAACCCACTTTGAGAAGCAGCTCGGGGTGGAGGGTTAATTTTGGGAAAGGACTTAGAAGAAGAGAGAGAGCCATGTAGTTAGGTAGTCTGCACCTAAGGGTTTGGAATGCCGGATTCTGATGCCATCCCCAATTCGTTCCCATTCACCTGCTGGTGATAAGCACAGACTCAGCTATCTGCTTTTCAGTCTACTTAATAAAAAAAAAAAAATTAGGGGCTGGAGACATGGCTCAGCACTGGCTGCTCTTGCGGAGGTCTCAGGTTCTGTTCCCAGCACTCACATGGCAGCTAACAACTGTCTGTAACTCCAGTTCCAGGGGAATCCAACGCCCTCTTCGGACTTCCGTGGACATTGCAGGACATGGATACACTAACATACATAAAAAATAATAAAATATTAAAAAATATTTTTTAAAGCCCATTTATTTATTTGGGGCAGGGGGAGGCATGCTGTGGCACATGTGTGGATGTCAGAGGACAACTTGTATGAGTTCTTTCCGTCTAACAGGGCCACAACCCCCACTGCAGAGGCTCCTCTGCTCTGGCTTAGTTTCGCAGTGTAGAGATCAGGTTGTGCCTGGCTCTAAGTTTCAACCCACTATATAAAACAGGGACTTGCGGATCTCTGAGTTCAAGGCCAGCCTGGTCTACATAGTGAGTTCTAGGACAGCTGGGGCTATGGGGAGACCCTGTCTCAAAAAGACCAAAAAAAGCAACCCCCCCAAAAAAATCCCAGGGACTTTCAGGACATGCCTTGCCTAGGTGATTCCATTTTGCAAAGCAGCAGCTGGCTTCATTGTGAGTTCAAGTGCAGAGGCAGGATGATCTTGCATCTTCTTTGTGCAGAACGTGGGCACCACTACCTGTCCAGCACTATTCACAAGGTACAGACTGATAAATAGCTTACTCCTGTAAATAAAACAAGTACCATCTATAAATTTATCAAATTACATTAAGAACTTATAGGCACATGGGTGTATTGACGCTATCAGAGAAGACAGATAGGGAACTTATCCAACACCAGAACAACACCCTCACCTGGACTCCATAAAAAAGACCCCATAAAAAGGGCAAGACCTGTCATGTGACCACTTGCTGTGTGTATCAAGGGACCAACAGGGGCTGCAGCTCGGTAGAGTCCTCATTGTTAGACATGACCTGCTTGAATTACTGTCTATCCATTATCCATCCACTTATCTGTCTGCACTGGTTCTGCCTAGCTCTGTGACTCACGGCTCAGCCCTGTGGCTGGGCTCTCCAGCTGAGTTGTTAATATGTTGTCTAGACCCCTGCAGTGACTTCTCTGCATCTCATGAGCCCTCTGCCTCTGTACTCTGTGGCCTCTTTAACCCTTTTGTAGCCATTGTGTAATATATATATATATTCATAGATAGATATAGACAGATATAGGTATAAAACTGTGTCATGTAATATTAGTTATCAAGGAAGGGGGTCAGAAGCCCTGACCTTAGCTGAAGGACTATTGGAAACAGATAACTACTGGGAGAGGAAAAATTGGTTGGTTTTCTCTAAAGGTGTGATGATGCTAGAAGCTAATCAGGCTCTAGTGGATGGCCACACATCAAAGGGCATTTTGGGGACACAAACTTGGCTAGATAGGCCTTAATATATATGACAACACAAAAAATCTGGTGGGGGGGCTACAGAAGGGTACAGATAGGGGAGAGGGTCTAAATATGAGCAAAATATGTTGTATGAAAATTTCTCAAAATTTCAATTAAACAGTAATCAAGATTGGATTAAAAGAGCCCATAATTTCCAATGGCTAGCTACCAAGGGGCATCAGGGCTGCTTGGTAAACTGCAGCCAATAAAACAGAAGTAGTTTGTGGTTTTATCATCATTCAATAAATTCTGCCTTTGGGGAAAGACAGACATGCCCTTCTGTATTTCTGGCATATTGCATTTACACATGTAGCTTGACTCTCTAAGCCTCCGTGTCCTACTTCACCATGGGCTGTCAGGATGGGCTGTGCTGGACAGGCACCTTCCACTGTCTGAGAGTGAGGTGACCTGGTTTCCAGTCTCAGTCCTGTAACTCAGTCACCATGTGACCCTCAGGCAAGTTACCTCCTCTATTTGGGTTTCAGTTTCTTGCTTTAAAATTGTAATCTGCCGGGTGTGGTGGTACACATCTGGAATGCCAGCACTAGGGAGTTGAGGCAGGAAGATTGTGAGTTCTAGCCCAGCCTAGGCTGCATAGCAGGATCCTGTCTCTACCCTCAAGGAAAAAGTATCCAGAGGAAACCTTGATAACAGACACACACACACACACACACACACACACACACACACACACACACAATCTTTCTATAATACAAAAGTCTGAACTTGGCATTTATGACCTCATGGTCTGTAGTCTTTTCGAGACCTCTTCTAACAAGTCTCGCTCCATGCCCCAGCCTTTCCGGCTTGTTCTGCTTGCTCCCTCTGCCTGGGATACCCTTTCCCTACTCATCTTTCATGATGTAACCTAGACACCTATATACCAGACACCAGTCTAAGCTCTGGCCATGTATTATCTCGGTGGCTCTCCATTCTTCAGAGGTTTCTTAGAAACACCTAGAAGGCTTCCCCTAGCCCTTTGATTCAGGAGGTTAGGGGTAGGGCTGAAGAATTTGCATTGCCAACTCCTAGGTGGGAACAGGGGTTTGCTGGTCTGGGGACCATACTTCCGGAACTTTGTTTCATTCAATGCTCCAAATGAGAGAGGTAGTTATTGCTCTGTGAGGTAGGCATTCTTTCCTTTTCAGAGTAGGCCTAAATGCACACTTGTTCAAATGGGCCAATGGGTTCTGGCCTATCTCTTTGGCATTAAAAAGGGGAACTTCATTTAGCAGCCTTGAAAAAGAGGCTTGTCACTATTTCATACATGAGCCTAGGTTCCAGAGAGGTTAAGGGACTTGTCAAGGCCTCACAGTTTTGTCATTGCTGTGACAAAATACCTGACAAAATCAACTTAAGGGAGAAAGGGCTTATTTAGCCTCACAGTTTGAGGGTGCAGTTGATCAGGGCAGGAAGGCCTGCAGCAGGAGTGGAGGCAGCTGGTCAGATTGCATCTGTATCTGGAAACTTGTGTGTACCTCCCTGTCTCTCTTAAATTCGCCCAGGACTCTGGCCCATGGAAAGGTGCTGCCCATATTTAGGGTAGATCTTTCTACCTTATGATCTAGTCTAGAAACTTTCTCACAGACATTCCTAGAGGTTTGTCTCCTAGGTGATTTTGGATCCCGTCAAGTTGATGATCAGTATTAACCATCATGGAGGAGGAGGATATGCTGGGATTGAACCAGGACTTTCTCAAATCCTTTCTCACTCTCTCAGGTTAGGAAGACGTTGATTTTTCCTTCCCCTTTTCCTTCCTTCCCTCTTTTTTTCCTTCCTCCCTCCCTCCCTCCCTGGAGTCTAGCCCCTCACTGGAAGTTCCTCCTCCCTTTCTATTTTTGATGGACCCCAGAACCTTGCATATGACAGGCAAGGGAGAGTGTCTGGTTTCTTCCCCGGTTTAGGGCTCAACGGCCTCTGGAGAATGTAGCTAATGAGTTCACACAGAGCTGGGAGTGAGAGATCTAAACAGCTTTGGAACCATGTGACCTCATCCTCCCACCTGAGCTTGCTTCCTCTGGCCCGGCCCTCATCTTCAGTCCCATAAAGGCCGGATAGGCAGCACACCAGGTTCCTCTCCTCCTGACTTCTTCGCCACAGACTTACCAGGAGCTCAGTGGCCATGGTGCAGTGGATTCTGATTGTTGTGGCTCTCTTGGTCCTGGGTCATGCACTGCCAGGTAACTACGTGTGTGTGTGTGTGTGTGTGTGTGTGTGTGTGTGTGTGTGTTCGTAAAAATGAAGACTAGGCTCTCAGGTCCTGGAGGACAGATCAGTATTTAGGTACTGGTGCTAAAGCAGCCTGTACCTGTTTCTTAATTTGTAGAATGAGAGTCACTCAATAGGAATTCATTGAAAAGATATACACTGGGGATCAGGCAACTATTATGATTACTGGGGTTGGTGGGAATAGAACATAAACAGGCAAACCTGTAACCTGTTGGAAGGTGTGAAGGACAGTGAAGGCAGTTAGGGTTGGAGTAACGTGGGCAAACCTGTAACCTGTTGGAAGGTATGAAGGACAGTGAAGGCAGTTAGGGTTGGAGTAATGTGGGTGGGATGGATGGTTCAGGAAGGCCTGTGAGAGAGCTTCTTAAAACTTTTTTATTTTGAGGTGGGCATGATGGTACATACCTATAATCCCAGTCCTTGAGAGGTTGAGGCAGGAGAATTGAGAGTTCGAGGCTGGCTTGGACTACATAATGAGGTTGAGGCAAGCCTGGTTTATATAGTGAGAACTTGGCTAGAAAATACCAAAAATAAAAAGTAGAAAAATTGTTTTGAAAAAATCTGAAATAGAGGATAATATAATGAACAAGGTAAGGCTGATTTTGTGTGTGTGTGTGTGTGTGTGTGTGTGTGTGTGGTGCTGGGGAAAGGACCTAGGACCTTCATACATGCTAAACATGATTCTGTCACTGAGCCATACCCTCCATCTCACAAGTTTCCAGACCTGTCACAGCTAAGTGGTTTGGGGCAAGCCCTTCCTTTATCTGGACAGCCAGGGGGTTGACCTAGAACAGACACTGGTGGCTCTGGTCACCTGAACAGTCATACTCGTAATTTCACCTCCTGCTTATCGACCAGTGTCTGGTTCCCATGATTGCCCTCTGGAAGAGAGCAATACAGACGAAGAATCTAAGGCCAAGGTCACCTGGAAAATGACAGAGCTGGGACTGAGACCCAGAAGCTGGGAGCTGGGCTCACACTACACTGTTAACTGTTAGTCACATACTGTCTTCAGAGTACAGCCTTGGATTCCTAGAGATTTTGAGGCCAGCTCTGTGTCATTCCAGGATTCTCTGCCTGGCCACCTAGGAGGGCAAGAGTGTTGGCAGGGCTAGTAAACGTTCACATGAGCCCACAGCATCCTCTGAGGGTTTTGGGGGTTCCCTGAATCCAGGGAGACAGAGGGAGGCCTTTCCTGCTTACCCCTGACTCTTGCTTGCTCTCCTGAGACTGACTACATGTCTGGAGAAGCCCAAGCACTCTGAACTTTTCCTTGCTTTTCTGCTTCTGCTCTGATTGGCCACCACAGAACCTTGATCACGTCCACCAGGGCACTTACCAGCAAGATCTCTTTATTTGCTTGTTTTTAAACTGCCTTCTCCACAGTTCCTTTTCTTTCTTTCTTTTTTTTTTTTAAATTGTGATATCCCCACTGTTCCACGTTTGTTGAGTGACTAAATGAGAGGTTTCATTTATGTTATTACCCGAGAATCATGGAGGAGGTATAAGCTCTATTCCCCCAAAGCCTTACCTTTTCTATAACTGGAAATCCTGGCATTAAAGAGGTCCCCATGTGCCAGGGACAGTTTGTGTCACAGAGCCTGACTTCTTGGGTTTCAATCTGATGTTGCCATATGACCATAATGATTTCGTTAAGGTTACTAACTTCTTTGAGCCTCAGTTTCTTTACCTGGATAGCAGGAATTGTAATAAAACCAACTACAATCACAGTGTTGTTATAAGGATTACCTGGTGGGTGGTTTTACCTGGATAAGAAATTATTCTCTAACTTGTAACCAGTGGTCTAACCTGTGACCCATGGACTGCTCTATAACCTGTGGTCTTTCTCTACACAGGGAGCACTGAATTCAAACGGTGCTGGAAGGGCCAAGGGGCCTGCCGAACTTACTGCATGAGGCAAGAATCCTTTATGCACTTGTGTCCAGATGCTTCCCTCTGCTGCCTCGCCTACTCCCTCAAGGCTCCGCCAGCCTCCAAGGTTGGATGTAAATAGCTGGCTCTGGGGCTGGCATCCTTGTGCTCCAATAAAACTCCTGCCACCAGCACTCTCTGTATTCTGCTTGCCAGATGGAGCTCCCCTCCCAACAGGAGAGGGGACAAAGTCTAGGATGTGGGAGGGATGCTTGGAGGAAGTAGTACTGAGGAGAGTGGGCATTAATGACCGTTCTAAAGGTTCCTGTCCTGACCAACTCCGGAAAAATGACTAGACTGCCTATACGCCTCCACAGAGTCTTCGTTCACAAAGCAGGCTAATTATATCAGCTGACTAGCACTTTGCAGAAGGAATACCAAAAGCAAGGGCTCATGATAAGCTAGTAAGGATTAAGGATAGGCTTGTCAGCAGTATGCCCAGGATGAGACAGCACGTTTGGCTTGAAAGGCAGGCAACCCAGCCAAGGGGGTTTTTCTGTTCCTTCATCCCTTACTCGGCATGTCATGAGTCCACCCAGGTAGACAAGACCCTAAGGACTTTATGAAGCAGCTTTCACATAAGCAGGAAGAGATCATAGAGGAAAGTTCATCGCTTTGGGGCTGTGGATTTGTGGGGCAGGAAGGCAGGGGAAAACCTCAGCAGAATCAGGCAAGTGTATACAGTCATGAGGTTTAGGTCCCCTGTGCCTGTTAGGGTTGTGTTAGGCTGAAGAAACAGGAAGCCCACCTTGCAGGGTTCCCACCGCCCCTGTAAAGGAAATCTGGGGGCCAGGATGTGGTGGAGAATTTGTTTAGTGTGTGCAAAGGTCTATGTATAATCCCCAGCAACACACACACACACACACACACACACACACACACACACACACACTGGGATCTTCCTCTCTTGGGCCACTAACTATATGACCACCAGGATTTCAGGCCTCCAGTACTGTTCAGAGCAGGCAGAGGGACAATGATCAGTGGGGATGGAGTTGGTAAAAAGAACTAATGGTAATAGTTCTCATTAATAACATAATAGCAAGATCTATCAGTAACATAATAATAACAATGTGAGAATAAGATCAAGAAAACAAACTGTGGTCTGGAGAGATGGCTTGGCAGTTAAGAACACTTGCTACTCTTCTAGAGGACCAGAGTTCAATTCCCAACACCCATAATGGGGCAGCTAACAACTGCCTGCAACTCCAGCTCCAGGGAGTTGGATACCCTCTTCTGGCCTTGGTCACTGCACTCACGTGCCCATACCCCCACACAGATAAGCACATATACACATAATTTCAAATAAATCTTAAAAAAAGGAAAGCAAACGTTTTCTCTGGAACCTTCTTAGCTGACTTCTGCTTGCATCTGATGGGCCAGGACTGTGTTTCGTGGCCACCTCGGGTGTAAGAAAGTCTATAAAAGGAGGATTCTGCTTCCCAGCCTCTGAGGTTGACCTGGGTTTGGGAGAAAGGGAGGTGGGGAGACCCTCTGTCTGCCATCTGCTCTCTGGGATTGAGCCCAGAAGGCATGCTTGGCAACTGAGGGAATGCCAAGGGCAGAGGGGCTCTTGTCTACTGTCTAGATACTTCAGAGAAGAGCACTGTTCTGGGTGACCATGGCTCAGCGGAGGGTTGAATCCTGGGAGTGGATGCAAGGTGGTCAGACTAAGAGAGGGCTGTATCTGTGATGTACATAGTATTTCACAGCACGGGGAGGGATGCTGATGTGAGAGGCACAGTCCTGGAAGATGCCTGCCTGCTAGGTATTAACCTGTTAGTTTCTGGTCTCAGCCGTACTTGTAGATGTGTCAGAGGCAGCTGGAGTGGAGATGGAAGTGCCCAGTGGTCACATATTGCACCTCATTGTCATGTTTCTTTGAGTTTCTTGACCTGAATCTGAGTGTCTCTCAGACAAGCAATGTCAGAAGTTAATATAGCTCAATTGATAAGAGTGCTTGCCTAGCATACATGAAGCCCTGGGTTTGATCCCCAGCACTGTATAAATTGGGCATGATGATGCATGTGGGAGTAGGAGGCAGGAGGATGAGAAGGCCAACGCCATCCTTGGCAACATAACAAGTTCAAGGCCATCCTGGGATACAGGAGACCCTGTCTTAGGAAAAATGAGAGGCAGGCTGGTCTCTGTGAGTTTGAGGCCAGCCTTGTCTACATAGTGAGTTCTAGGCCCTGTCTCAAAAAAAAAAAAAGTACATAAGAAACAAAGTTAGCCAGGCATGGTGGCACATGCCTGTAGTCCCAGCACTTGGAAGGCAGAGGCAGGTGGATCTCTATAAGTTCAAAGCCAGCCTGGTCTATATAGAGAGTTCCAGTCCAGCTGGGGCTACAGGGAGACCTTGTCTCAAAAAGATAAAAAAAAAGAAACAAAGTTAAACAAAAAACCGGTGTGGTGGTGCTAGCCTTTAATCCCAGCACTTGGGAGGCAGAGTCAGGTGGATCTTTGTGAGGCCAGCCTACAAAGTGGTCTACATAGTGAGTTCCAGGACAGCTGAGGCTACAAGGAGACCCTGTCTCAAAAAAGACAAAAAATTAAAAAAATAAAAAATAATAATAAAAAAACAAAAATAGAAACAAAGAAAGCTGGGTGTGGTGGCACATGCCTTTAATCCCAACACTTAGGAGGCAGAGGCAGGTGGATCTCTGTGAGTTCAAGACCAGCCTGCTCTATCTAGCAAGTTCTAGGCCAGCTGGGCTGCAGGGTGACCCTGTCTCAAAAAGATTAAAAAAAAAAGCCCAGAAAAAAAATCTTATTTCTGCACATATCTTTTTTTTTTCTTCTGAGCACATGTAGTGGAATTTGGGTGAACTATGTGATGTAGGTACATCTGCCTCTCACAGGGCAGGCGATTCACCAGAGATTTTTTTTCCTTTCTTTTTCAAAAAATTTAAAAATCTTTATTTTATTTCATGTATATGAGTATATTGCCTGCATGTGTGTAAGTGCATCTGTGTTGTGCAGTGCCCTTGGAGGCAAGAAGAGGGTCCCCTGGAACTGAAATTACAGACTATTGTTAGCTGCCTTGTGGGTGCTGGGAACCAAACCTGGGTCTTCTGCAAGAGCAGTCAGTGCTCTTAACTGCTGAGCCATCTTTCCTGCCCACTTTTGTTTTTTTTAGAAATGAGAAATAACATGGGTTTAATGATGCTTTACATACAGATCTTAAAATAGATCCAAGTATGAAGGAGTCCAGTTAGTCACTATTGCTGGAAGTATGAATAGATTTTAAATTGCATTTGAATTTGTACACTACATTCAAGTATTGTGACATAGCAAACCTTCGAGTAATTTATTTAAGGTACAGAAATGAAAGAAACCATGAAATTTAGAAGGCACATGCATGTAACTAGTGACACAGAACATCAAAGTCATTGATCATCTTTTTGCTCTTTTTATGGTCTGGCCAGAGAACCCAGGGGTCTCTTTGTACAGCTCAGGCTGTCCTCAACTCACAGTCTTTATGCATCTATCTCCAAAGTGATGGGATTACAAGCATAATTCACATATTTAATCCACAATTCACATGTTTAAATGCCTATGTTTACAGCTTCTTCAATGACAAGAAATTCTCCCATATATGCTATGCTCAGCCTGTAAGAAGCATCCTTATCTCTTGCCTCCTTTGACCCTTACATATACTTTGAATCAATAATAATATAAAGTCAATTTTCACAGTGCCAACAAAGTTCATTTCCTCTGGTTATATGGTTTGAACTCAAGGACTGAGCTATGTAACCACATCCCTAACTTTATAACTTTAATATTTTTTTAGTTCTCATGATAAAATAAACATAATGCATTTTCTTGAAACCATAACAAATGAATTGCACAGCTGGATGCACACTCATTTTTTCTTCTTTGGCATTTGGGATTATATTATTCTTGTCATGTTCCTATATTTCGTAGTGACGTACAGGTGAGGTACACCTCTAGGGTGTGGTATTCATACTTCTACATAGCTTACTTTGCTTTACCATAGGCTAACTCACATTATAAATTCTATTTTCAGGCAGCCCATATTCCAGTGTGTGTGTGTGTGTGTGTGTGTGTGTGTGTGTGTGTGTGTTCACATACATTCTTACATATATATCTATATATACACACACACAAATATATATACAGATACATATATGTTTGTTTTTCTTCAACACATACGATCGATCTATCTATCTATCTATCTATCATCTATCTATCTATCATCTATCTACATGTACATATACAGATACATGCATGTTTGTTTTTCTTCAACACATATCTACCTGGTAACTTGGGCATCACTGAGATCATGTACAAAGGGAAGCCTTTCTTCTTGACTGCTTTCAATGGCCAGATCAGTGATTCTCATGGGGAGATACTACCCTCTAGTGGTTATTTTGGGAGTTTACTAGGAGAATTTTTTATTTTTTATTGAATTTTCATATTCTATAGATTGATGGTATTTGGATCCCCTTTCCTGTTCACACTTATAGAATTTGATTTATGTCCTCAAATGCCCTTCAGTGTGGATCTATTCACTGGGCCCACCAAGAGTCCGATCCTTGTAAGACACTGTCTCTCCCCACTCCCAGCAAGCATCAATTACCAAAAGTTCCTTAGGTCGGGTTGGGATTTCTTACCCACTTCCCTATGTCTATACTGGTTTGAGCATGCATGGAACTTGAGCATACTGTCACCATTGCTGTGAGTTCATATGAGTAACTGACCAGCTGTCTCATCCCTGAAAAGAATACCTTTTTCAAACCTCTGCCTCCCAATGCTGCGGGATCATTGCAGAAGAGGAGACAGAGAGATTGTAAGAGCCAGAGGGGGAGGATGACTGCTAGGAGCATTTTCAGTTGTTGCTTTCCCATTGGAATTTGATGGGTTGGGCACTAGGGATGTTGGTGGAGTGTGTGACTTCTGGAAATGAAGGACTGCCTTATTTTCCAGACATGTACGTGAGAAACCTGTTTCTAGTTGTCTGATTGTAGAGTTGAAGCTGTTTTTTCCAACTGTTTTTTCCTAAAATGAAATCACTGTGCAAGTCATGGAGCTATTATACTTTGCTCTGGGAGATTATTTTTTAAAGGTTTATTTCTTTGGGATTGGTGAGATGGCTCAATG